TCATACCGGGCATCAAATACTTAAAAAGACAACGATTTTTTTTCTGGTACCTTGTCGTTGACTTCCGTTCAGTTTTCTCGGTATTCTGCTCGATATTATATTCTGCAGGAGTCAGCTGCTTGCGAAGCTCACTGGTCACAATCTAACATTTTTGTTCAGTCCCTTTATCGAGTTCCTGTAGGAACTTGGTGTATTTGCAATATGCTGCCTTCGCAATTTTAAGTACCTTGCGTTGCTGCTGATTGGATCGACGTCATTCATATTTCTGGTTGATAGCAGCCAACCACTCTTGGTAATCTCCTCCACTATCTCACCTACCTGGTCACGTTCATTTTTTGATTCCTCACGGGGYATGGGGTAGAATTTGCCCGCGGTAAGGTATACCTGTCGGAAGAGCCGATTTGAATCCAATATGCACTATGTCTATTTGGYTTGCCTCGAAATTTCAACATATTCTTGTCTAAAATAATACTATAGTGCTCGATTTGAATTGATATTATAAACTTTGAAGAATATTCCTTTCATTGGAAAGACAATTTGAAGTAGCAAGAGCTAGAAGGTCTGACCGGAATCTTAAATCTCTTTCCTCRGGGAGCTCGCTTTTATCGGCTAATTGSGTTTGACCCTTKGGGGAGATTAWTGGTGGCTATTATTTAAATCTAACGGCAGGTAGAATTGAAAGTTCAGTTCAGTGTGGAGTCGCAATGCGGACGGGTGCCACACACATATCGCGGTAGTGGTTTCAGATCGGCATCGAACCCGACCGAGGTGGAAAAGGTATGCCTTCCATCTGAACACCTTGGAAGAAAATAATACTTGCAGAAAGCTTTTATTATTTGGGGCGTTGATCTTCGGTTTGTTTTGATGTATATATGTGTTTTAAGACACCGTGGGAAAGGCAGAGGCTCACGTAAAAATAAAAAATTTTTTAAATAAAGTCAGTACCCAAGCACAAAAACCGTTTTCTCAATTAATCTTAAAGCACTAAATTAATCTGGCGAAGCGAAAAGGCTTTAAGTTAACTCTGGACTTACTTGATGATGCATTAAAGGCTGAACGGCTTTTCGAATAGTATAAAACTTTTCTTGAAATATACTGCAGTGGTCCGAAGGTTTAAAAGGTTGCCATATGCGGTATATTCCCGTACCAGCTAAGTTTTCCATTTTCAAGCCATTTAAATGCTGTTGCATTACGCCGCACTTAGTTGCTTTTGAGACATGTTATCCAAAGCTCAAATGCCTTGGAGTTAGCGCCAATAACTCTTTTAGCCCATCCGTCACCCTTGCGGAGCAGCTCTTTTATGGAGTGGGGACCATCCATAATAAAAGGCTCAAATTCTGTCATGTTGATGGATGCTGTGGAGCAGCCGAGCTCATCAGCCAGTTCATTCCTAATAAGGTGCACTTGGAAACGACCTGATAGACTGTTAAGCCGCTCTATACACTRCTGCTTCAGTAGTGATTTGATCTCGTACKCAGAGACCGCTTTAAGTGCCGCTTGACTTTCGTTGAGTATCAACATACGTYCGTTGCGATAGTTTCAATGGAGGTTTACCTCTACGCACCTGCTTAGAGCAAAGGCCTCTGTTTGGAATATCCTCGGAAAACTTCCCAAAGGTATTGAGAGTTGGTGCGCCATTCTACGACTCCTGCACTAATTTGCTCTGACATTTTTGAGCCGTCGGTRTACCACTRGATTGTACYATCCCTATKCAGTAACTCGAGAGCGGAATCATTCCAYTCAGCCTTGYTGSTAAGAGTAGCCTTGARCTTCWTAATGAAGTTTACTSTTTTGGTAATGYTGTCCCTTGGGTAARGAGCCAATTTTATTTCACCACTTAAGTCTTTCATACGGTGGGATGACATAACTTTACCTCTGCCAAACACTTCTGCTGTCATTTGAATCAGTGTGTATTTGCCTACAAAACCGATTACCTCATGCATGACTTCATGACGAGCTGAAACACTCGGTCGACATGCTTTTGGACCGAGCAAAAAACTGTATTGAAGCAGAAGGAGACTATTTTCAATAAAATAGATTGATTTTGCCGAAAAAACTATTTGCTCTGTTTTTTTTTAAGTCCTGTTTACTTTGGAACAAACCTTGTAGGTCTTTTTGATTCGGCTTAAAACTTCAAGAGTAACTTTYCAGCACCTTTAAATTGAAACTCAGTTAGAAATATTGCAAATATGCTCAAAAAACTCACATAGCTGAGCACAAATCAATACAAAAAAGGAACACGTTTTTCCTACTGGGCAACGTACAGTACCACACACCCTGCTGACGCAACAAATACAAGCATATCACATCACATCTATACACATATGGTTTATGTCYTTTTCTCTTGTCAGCTTATAATTTCCGTCTATGGACACTTCTCATTCTACCATGAAAAGTCATTTCGCAGAATTTGTTGGCTGCAAGAATTTTTCATTTCAAAATTTGCTGATRCAAGTGGGTCTGGAACAATTCAGGCAATTAACGGCTCTATGAGTGTGGTTTATTGCAGGGTTTCATACAAAACGGTTTACCGCTATTTATAAGCCCAGCTTGCAGTTGTATTCGAGTTTCATTGAAAACTCATTAAGCAGCTTTCCTCACTTCATAGCAACTATTAAACGACTAAGTGTATGATGTAGTGGCGAAAAGGAGCATTAGTAGAAATTTTAAGTGAAATCTTTGCTTTTATATAAATAAATATATGAATGTAAGGCTTCACGGAATTTATTTGCTTTTTGATTGCAAACACTTTCTATAAATGTGATTCTTTGAAAAATCATATTTAGAATGTTGAGATTTTATAGTAATATGTAAAAGAATTAACAGCAATGTTAGTTTAAGTTGAAACAGAAAGTGTCAAGGAAAACTATTTTTACAAAATAACTTTATGACATAATACCCGGAAAATATAATTTTATCAATAAAAAATTTTCACTTGACCTTATTTAAAACATTTGTTAGCTAATTATCGAGGAAAATARGATTTTTGCAATAATTTCGATTTTWTASTATAATTTGAAGAGTAAAATTTTACACCAAAACTACTTTTGTATTCGGAATCCATTTTGTCTAAAATCAAACTTTTGAATAGTTCTTCGATTATTACCCATACTCATTTGCAGTTGAATTACAATTTTTAGACTTGCAAATTTGCAATAATTTTAAACATAAAAATTGTCCTCTCCGCCAAACCCTTTTTGCAGAGGTCCTCCTAGAGGTTGGCTACGTTATTTAAGGGATCCAAAAGTGTTCGAAATAAATCAAAGATTATTAAAGCATGACATTCTCTAAGTGTACATTAGATACAGTCAGAGACAGAAAAATAACAAGTTTAAATAAATTGCTTGTCATTAAATTATTTCACTATATAAAAGTAAAATACATTGCACTATTAACTTAAGTTTCGAAATGAGTCGAAAAGTTTAAAGTAATCGCAGTTTGTGTTGCTCCAGTTTGATCCGAACTTTCTTGAGGTAACCTTCATTAGTCCTTGGAGACTTATCAAACGGACGGTAGAAACTYTTTCATTAACAAAATTTTGGCTCTCGAATATTTTATCCAGATTTTCTGTAAATGGCCTGCAGTTAATTGTTTTGAAGAATCGAAAAAAAAAAAAAACTTTGATCAGGCATGATTTTAAGTTTTCAAAATGGACATCTCCGAAAACGTTATCAAAATTGGAAACTTATGCATTGTCTAGACGACAATCTGGTGAGCAGCATRGCAAGGAAAATCAAAACACGGTGTAATGATCAAGTTGAATGCAAAGCTGAGCAGAAATATAAAAAGTTTTTACTGGAACTCGAAAAAACGGACTATAGGAACATACTCATTGATCACAGTTTGCAGAAGACTGTAAGAAACGTCAAGACCAAAGCKGTTAAACAATCTACGCTTTCAGCATCCTGGCAGCGTTAATGAGCGCTCACAGTTTGTTGTAATTCGCTTCGAGAGCCTGCTCCTAAAATACGATTTCTTCTCATGGACTYTGTAACGGAACCAAAGGAACGCAAAGAATCAAAAGTGGTTCAATACCCTACCGGATAACTTAACGCATATTTTCAAAATCTCTAGAGATTTCATTGATATCTACCGATAAGTTTTCGAGTTACACTGGTCAGTAGTTCAAAAACATAGTTTTGTGAAAAATACATACGAAAATAGGCAGCAGCTCTATTCACCCTCGAAAGTTACAGAGTGCCTKGGAACTCTTTGCTTCTTCCCGAATAACTTGAAAAGTATTTCAAAGATAGTATATATTATTAATAGTCTGACTACTTCTCATGGCTAAAATCAAACGCCTCTCCCAACAAAAAAGAAAAAACAAAAAACCTTTTATTTTAT